TAATATGCATTGTTGTTTGTACATTATCAGCTTTTCTTACCTTTGGCTTCCTATGTATTGGGTGGTAAATCCTATAATCCTAAACTAGCTGGCCCTTCAGTCTTCTCGATTGGGAATTCTAGTAGTCAGACACTAACCTTGGAGCTAGGGAAAAGAGCTGATTTAACTGCAGCTTATATTTGTAATAGAAAACTGTACAGAAGTGCAAATTTTGAAGAAAAACACTAATCAAATAGCTTGGGGGTGGGGAGCTATGAGTCAGTTTTGTCTCCTAGTAACACCTTGGACTGGTCCATGCACTTTTCTTGGTAAGATTTTCAGAAATGCCTTCTTTCAATGGCTGAGAGACATTAACTGGTCCAAGGTCACCCAGCCATCTTTCATGCTAAAGTAGGACTGGAAGTCATGATCTTCTGATCTTCACTACACCAAACTGGTTCTCCCTCTATTGTTTTAGATATATCAGTTAGGTAGTTTCTGATCTGGACACATTCCTGCTTAAACTTACCATGCATGAAGGAGAAAAGAGAGTGACTGCTGGAGCATTGATATATCTACTTCCCGCTGCTAGTTCTCAGTTTGATTCTTAACTGTTAAAAAGAAATGGTTACTGCCCACTGCATTAATACTACACAACTCCATAAATCTGTATTGATTTTTTTGTGTGTATTCCTTTCCTTTCCACATGTTTCAATAGTTATGACAGCAAACTCTAATTGGTAAGAAAAGCAGGAGCTGCCACGAGCCTTGTGTGCTGAAGGTTTTAATAAATGCAACAACAGGCTAGAAAGGAACAAAGGAAAGGATCCGTTTTTCCCATCACTTTCACTTCATACGCACCTTACTTATTCATTTATTATGCAATGTAACTGCTTGTAGTCCTTGCTTACTGTACACTCATTCAGCAACCATTTAATGTTATGATGGTGCAGAACAAGGGATACTTATGATTGCTCCTTGTAGCTGTCACATGATCATGATTTGAGCATTTGGTGACCAGCTCAGAATTATGATGACATAGTATTCTGTAGTCACATTATCTTATTTATCACATTTCTATACCATCTATCTCGCCCAGCTGACTCTGGTTATTGCCATTTGCAACTTTCGCTGCTGGATTCCAATAAGCCAGGTCAATAGCAAAGTCACAAATGATAATCATGTGATCATAGGACACTGACTGCATGGATTCAACTAACAAAAGCAGCTGGGGCTCCTGGAACTGCCACTGTGTCATTGCACCTTATGACTGCTTTGCTTAGTTTTCTTTTAAAAAAATAATCTGCTTTTTAAAATATATATAGCTCAAGGAGACAAACATACCAATACTTTTTCTTCCTCCTATTTTCCTCACAACACTCACCCTGTGAGACGAGTTTGGCTGAGAAGCAGTGACTGAAAAACCCAGCTGGTTTTTCATGCCAAGGTGGGACTAGAACTCAAAGTCTCCTGATTTCTAAGCCTACACATAAACCACTATGCCAAAGTTGTCACTGAGTGCAGAGTTCCTGGTCCCAATTACTGTCAGTGAATGTTGGCCTTCCCATACCTTTACAGTAATTACAGTAATTGAGAACTACCTGTACTGCCTTAACTTAAAAGGAATCTAAGCAAATTGTAGTGGTAAAATAAAATAATATATACAAAAGTACATCAATTAATTAAAGGTGGTAATGGTGCCACTGATTCCACAGGCACCTTGTACAACTTACAGACAGTCCTCATTTAATGAGTGCCTCTGACAGCAATCATTCACAGTATAACAGCGATAAAAAGTAACTTTGCAACCAATGCTTGTGTTTACAATCTCTCTCTCTCTCTCTCTCTCTCTCTCTCTCTCTCTCTCTCTCTCTACACACACACACACACACACACACACACACACACACGTGCATCTTTAGTACACATTGTTGACCCATTTTTTCTTCCACCACTTCCACAGAGTGGAAAGATTGCCTAAACAAGGCATGGTATCTCTTTCTGAACTGCTTTTTGCTGTATCTTAGCACCCTATCCTCTGTTGTAGGTATTTCAGTCTTTCCATTTTTGTGCATATGATAGTCTCTCAGCAGTGATCCATTACAACAGTCATCTCCTGTGGCTCTTTTCTGATTGACTGTCATGCTTACTTGATTTTTCACTTAGTGACTACTTCACTTAATGATTGAATTGCCAATTCCAATTGAGGACTGCCCGTATTGTATTGTTCTTTTCGCTTCTAACCCTGGGTTTTTATCATACCACAATATTGTTTAATCATGATAATGACAAACTCCACTTCAGCATGAAGTGCTTTGTCATGGGTCAAGCAATTTGCCAACTATTTATTTATTTAATTAATTCATTTTTTATACCGCCCTTCTCCTGCTGGACTCAGGGAGGTGAACAGCCAAGAATAAAAAACATCCAATACAAAATTTAAAATTATTAAAAGAATTAAACAAATTTTGGCCCAGATTTAAAACATCCCAACTAAAATCCGTTACAATTAAAATATCTAAGGGGGGGGGTTTACGCCAGCCCAGCTTGGTGAAATAGAAAAGTTTTGAGGGCACGGCGAAAAGCACAGAGATCTGGTATCCTACATATCTCTGGGGGCAGGTTGTTCCAGAGGGCAGGTGCTGCCACAGAGAAGGCCCTCCCCCTGGGGGTCGCCAGCTGACATTGCCTGGCTGACGGCGCCCTGAGGAGTCCCTCTCTGTGGGAGCGAACTGGCCAGTGGGAGGCGATCAGTGGCAGAAGACGGTCCCGTAAGTACCCAGGCCCTGTGCCATGGAGTGCTTTAAAGGTGGTAACTAACACCTTGAAGTGCACCCAGAAGACCACTGGAAGCCAATGGAGCTTGCGCAGGAGGGGTGTCACATGGGAGTGGCCCATCGCTCCCATAATCCCCCGCGCGGTTGCATTCTGCACCAGTTGGAGCCTCTGGGTGCTCCTCAAGGGGAGCCCCATGTAGAGAGCATTGCAGTAGTCTGGGTCTGGGTCTGTTATTCTATAGGGTTGGTAATGCAAAAAGGGGATGGAGTAAAAGACTGCTGGTTTCTGAATAATGTTTAGAAAGCATAGAATGGTCATTTTGTTAAATAAATAAGTGATGCAATTGTAAGGTGCAACATCATGTGATTGCTTCGATTTATGATGGCAATTCTGGCATCCCTGTTGCCATTGTTAGGTGAATCTTATGTGGTTGCAGTGCCCCATGGTAACATGATTGCCATTTGATACCTTCTGCCATCCCTGTTGACTTTGTCTGTTGGAAGCTGACAGTGAAGATCACAAAAAGGGAATCCCTTGATGTGGAATGCTGCAACACTAATTGCAAGCCAGTGCACCTTCTCTGTAGCACTGTCTGCCTTCTAGAATAAGCTACCCTTCCCAGCCAGATCCTGATGCTCCCCCACTCTGCTGTTGTTTAGAAGAGCCACAAAAACCTGACTCTTCATTCAGGCCTTTGGTGAGGGAGAGGGAGACACATTCACATATTTTATCTTTTATGTTTTATTGATACTTATCACTATAATTTTGCTTTATTGTTGTGAGCCTCCTAGAGCAGTTGAGAGTCATGCAGTATACAACTTTAACAAGTTATTAAATTAATTGTTATTATCCATCAGCACTCTGGTTATCTCCTTTCCTTACTCTCTTGTGGGTGTCTCCAACAAATCATTTATGGGATGTGATATACAATGCCAGCCAGGGTTAAAGTATTGCATGTAGCCTTTCATCCACCACATGCTTTTGTCTAAAACAAATGTTCCTTGTGGTTGATTAATAGGGTCAGCACCATATTGTGCTATATATTGAATCATAACATACCCAATTGTGCAGATGGTTTTGGTTTCCTATGGGTTCTCTAACAATAGCTCTTTGTGTGGTAAATAAAAGTTTTTCGGGAGTGCAGTGGGCTGGGAGGGTGTTAAAAAGACTTCAGCATGCTGCCAAAATAACTAGTTCTTTAAAAAGTTTTGTGCTGTCACTGCCGTTGATCATATCCACAGGGTACCTCACAAGGGAGAAAGAGATATATAGAGCTTATGGAAAGCTCTGAAATTAAGGGGGAGCTCCAGTTTGTTTCTCTTTCCACCACATTGAGACTAATGGCAATAACTGTATGGATAAGGTTATGTTTTATGCTAGACATTTGAAGCTGTGAAAACATTGAGTTAGGCTAGTAAATAATTCAAAATATTGATAAAGGAGAATATTTGTAGCTCAGGGTTGACATGAGAGGTCCTTGGTGCTCTCTGAGCTTGCTTGTTTTCTTGCAGAATTTTCATTACCCTAACTAGGTAACATCGCCATCACTAGCACTAATGATGTTACCTAGTTTGGGTAATGAAACATCTGCAAGAAAACAAGCAAGCTCAGGGAGCACCAAGGACCCCTCAATTCAAAGTATGATTTATATGAGCTCATAAGCGGTCAGGTAACGGAGGAATATAGTAGCACCCTCAACTTGAGCAAGCATAGCAATAAGCTTTTATTTCCAGTCATGAAATAACCAGCACCCTTAAGTGCCTTACTTGAAAACAATGTGATCAATGATTACTTCCTTGCATTCATGTAATTATGTGGTCCTTCATGCAGTCCAGCAAAATCTGGCACCCAATAATTAGCTGCTGTATGCATGTTAGTGTCTTTGGGCTTGCTATTTAGGCAGCGTCCCTCTTCCCCGACAATGTCTACCATCTGAAAATAATTCGTCAGATGTGGTAAAGCCTGAAGCTGGGATCCAAACCATAGTTAGATCTACTTAGTGCATTCTGGGGGTCCTGAGTCCTGCAAGGCTTTGGTTAAATGCAGTTCAAAGATGGTAGATTCTTGGGCTTCCCAGTACCTCAGAATAAACTAACAGAACAGGAAAAAAAGATTTGCTATTAAAATGTAGAGGTAGAATAGTTGTGCAGGGTAGAGTTCACAACTTCTTACCAAATTGAACCAGCAAAGCACTACAGGACATGCTGAAGGACAATGAAGGAAAAATAAAGGTAGTCCAGTACCTGCTACGTGCTACAACAGGCTGTTTGAAGTTCCCGGTACACGATACGCTTCTTGATTCAGTTCTTCAGAGCAACTGACCTCTATCAACCCAACACTTCTGAAGCCACCTAGAGAGAGCAAAAGAGACATGTAACAGATTACATCTTCTCATTCAAAGAGAACAACAATATTTGGAGAGAAAGGAGCTATTTTTTTCTCCTTAACTTATTAGAATAGCTTCTAGACTGCCTGCTTTTAGGATTATTTTTTCTTTCCTTTTATTCAATTCTTACAAGAAAAGCAGAAATTACATCTGGTTTCTGAATTACTTCATCTGACATTTGTCCCCAATGAGAATATTCAATCCAGTAGTTCAGGAGAAAGGATACAGTACTTTCTAATTGGAAATTATTACCTATTAAGACAAGAAATCTGCATGAAATGTGGGATAGGTCTTGTATTTCCTTCTGAAGTCAGTTTATACTTTAGAAACATACCTTAACTCAGTCCACAGTCATTGCAAAATATCCAAGGCTGCCTAAACCTGAGCACCAAAGCAGTAGAGATTCAATTTAAACATTACCAATCCAATAATGATAGGCCTGAGTAAGCCATATTGCTCCCCAAGAGTATAAATCTTCCACATTGGGCATATGTACAACTTTTATCTTAAATATAGGAGAAGTGGAGAATTTTCCTTTCCCAGTAGAAGAATGACTTTTCTTCTGCCTTATTGACAGGAAATGGGCCTATGATCAAATACAATTTTAAAGGTTTCATAAGAATCTTGAAATGGGGCAAATGCAGAGTGCCTGTGGTCAATTTCTGGCAATGTAGAAGATGGGCTTGAAGTGGCTGGTAGAAATTTTCTGTTGTTTTGTAGGAAGAGAAAGTAGCACAGAATAAATTGTCTAATATTCCAAAGGTGTTTTTTCAAGAGGCAACTGGACTTTCTTTCTTTTTCCTTGAAGACATTGCGCTTCTTATCCAAGAAACATCTTCAGTTCTGACTGAATGGTGGAGAGTGGAAGAATTTATATTCCTTGAAGTCATCTGGTCATTAGCAATTCTTCCGTCCTCCACCATTCAGTCAGAACTAAAGAAGCTTCTTAGATGAGAAGTGAAACGTCTTCAAGCAAAATTAAACTTGTGCTAAAAGTGCTGGCTTGAAGGTTCTCCGGAATCTGGATGGAAATAAACAGACTCAAATCCAACCTGATCATATGGCTGTTAATTCATGTCTACTGAATCTACAACTATGACAACTGTAACTCTCAGCAGGGTTGAGAATGTGAGTTTACAATCTGAACTCATTCGACTTAGAGAAACAGGTGGAGGCTTTTTCTGGTGTAACAACTATATAGCATAGAATGTACTGAGAACATTCACTTGCCATTTCTTACTTAGATCACTGTAATTTTCTTTATATGGGGTTGCTCTTGGAGACCACCAAAAAAACTGAGCTTGTCCAATATGCAGTGCCTGATGATCCTTACTAGTCAGTAATGTTGGCCAGTAATATTGCCATGTTAGACCACTGCAATGGGTTGCATTGGTTTCCTGTGTGATTTTAAATGATATTTGAGGTTCAGGGCTGTACTTTAAAACCATACATAGTTTGGAGCATGGATTTCTAAGGCACTGAATAAATGTGAGTGTCAACTCATGAAGCATTCCTGACCTGATTTAATTAGGGCATCGGTCAGCTCACCCTGACAATGAGCTCCCAACCTTTTAGTCCAAGAGTACTACTAAATGTTACAGGAGGGGGCCTCTCAGCAGATGCCTGTAGGACTTCCTGTCCTATGGAATGATCTGCTTTCTGAGGTTGCAAAGATCTCGCTGTTTTGGAAGGTCTTTGCGGATTGAGGCTGGATTAATTTTACTGTTTTGCTGTGTGCTGTCCAGAATCTCACCCAGAGGTGCCTTGGGTGTGATGAATTGCTATACAAATTTTATTAATAAATATTGTATCATATTTTCTATCATATTATTTATAGTTGTATGTAGAATTGATTAGAGTTGCACCACTCCAGAAGACTATTATTATTATATTTTTATCATATACTTGTGAGCTGCCTGAGTGTGACTGGAGTGTGCCTAACTCTCCTCAATAAATACATGAAAAATTGTAAATGTGAACAATGTCTGCACAAACTGGCCAATCAATTCATAGTTCATGCCTATGTGCTGCATCCACACAGCTTCTTTCTTGGTCTGTAGCAGATTTCTGTGCAGGCTTATAGAGAAAAGACTTCTGTTGAAACAAAGTAAATCTTGACAACTTTGAGGTACTACAGTTTTCTTCATTTTAGGGACTACATAGGCCTAATCAAGACAGAGTCAGAATTGAGATGGAAATGTCTAGTTTGATGAACTAGAAGCTTCTTAAGCCTAGTAGAACGTAACTTGCTTCTCCTTGAGAATAGTCTTTCCTCAAGCTTTGATAGTTCTAAAATCATTCTGTCTTTTTCATACAGTGGACAGCCAGGTTTTTCCTATGTTGTTGTATTATATTTATATACATCCCCTGCAATCAATGGATCTTTTCTTGATTGCAGGCTGCATGTCAGAAGGAGTGAACTGGATGCTTTTGTTCCTGGCGACAGCATCCTAGCTCTTGTAAAAGCCAATCCTATTTGATATTACATTTCTGTACAAGCCCAAAATAGAAAGGTGCCTGTTACTCCTCTAATAAGATAATTGCTTCACATTCAGGTCCCAGCGGGATTGGTGAACACTGAAGGATGAAACCATACAATGATCTTGCAAGGGAAGCAAATGTTATTAGCTGCATTTTTACCCATGGGAATGTGAAAGCCTGAGAAAGGAAAAGAAGTTGGTTTAACTGATGGAAGGGGCCCAATCCACCATGGCAATATCAAAGATGTGAAGAGTTTTTTCTGGTGTAACTAATAGAATGCCATCTATCTCAGTTACTCCTCTTTTCCATTATCATTCTTTAAATCCTGCTACCTGACAAATTGAATCTGACAAATTTTGGAGATAGGCGAATGGAGAATTACTGCAGTACAAGTTCAGTCCCAGCTGAGTGAACATCAGGTTTTTCCAAGGCCACCACAAGCCTGAGTTTACCCTTTGTTTGGGATGAATACAGAGAGGAGAAAAAGAGAGATTCTTGCTGTAAAATAGCAGCTGTGCTAATGGTCACGGCTGTTAATGATTCCAGATTTGGGAAGTTAACATCTGCTATTGAAATATGTTGCAAAGAATGACAAGTGAAACAGTGATGCAATACACAGAAACGTGTTTGCTTTCAAACACTCATCAAATATCCAGATTGAAAAACAAACAAAAAAATCCCAAATGTAGGTTCAGAATATTGAATAGAAATATTGTCCATCTTAAATTGATATTATTAGTGGCAGGAGATCAAAGGTTGCTGCTTATTTGAGTGGTTTCATTAGCCAAGAACAGAGTGGAATGATTGACCTATTCAGAATTATAATTGGAAATGTAGAAAAGGGAAAGTAGCATTGCCTTCTAAAGTCTGGGAAAAACCTATATTCATCTAAAGATCTTATACTATGCTGCTGTCTAAGCTTATATCATAGCAGCTGCCCATCTCCAAACGGAAAAAAATGAAAATAGAAATGCAGAGTTCCAGAAATGGAAGTCTGGTAGAAGAGCTGAAACTTTTTTGTCAGAGGTAGCTTTCCTACAGTTCCCAATGTTTTGTCAGCCCTGGAGGCCATCTTTTTCTTTAGATCTTCAGGGCTGCCACACTTAGTGCTGTGGGAAACTGGGAGAGGGGATTGCATGGAGTTGTGGGGATATCCAGCCTGCACTTGGAGTGGCGTGACTGGAAGGCATCTCCAGTTGGGACGGTGCATTGACTGGGCCATGTGATGGACATGTGGGTGCAGGGGAAGGGACTTGGATTTTCTTTTGGGTGGGTAAAGCCTGGAAGCTTTCAGATTCAGGTTTTCCCAGATGCGCCAATATGACATCTCTAATAAAATGGAACTTTGAGGAACTTCTAGTATCAGAGTCTTCTTTTGTTGGGGGTGTTATTTGAAACCCTGACATGAACCAGTTCCCCAACCTCTGGGGTGCTGTCTGGGGTCCTGAACCCCAAGCGTTGACCCGACACCAGGCGGCGTGAAGACTCAGGGAAGATGGAGGAGAGAATGGTGACCACAGAAGGAACCACCGGGACTGGTTTGATGGTCCACGTCAAGACCCTCTACTCCTCTTCTGAATCTGTGGGGAAGGCAGCGGAGGCCATCGAAGTGGAATGCTGACAGGGTGCTCGATCCAACAAGCCGGTGCCTTGGCAAGCCACTCAACCAGATCCCTCTTTATGGGGTGAGGCTGCGGGAGCCACACTGTCCCAAGAGTTGCTGACTGGGGTGATGCTGTGGGAACATCAGATGGGGGTGAGCAGAATGGAGCAGACCCAGGCCCTCGAATGGAAAGCACCAAGACCAGCTGATCTCAGTGATTCCCAAGAGTGGGGCTTTCTGCAGCCGACGCGAAGCCCGTCACTGGTGGGTCTACAAGAGCAGTTCAACCAGCTCAGCATGGGCAGCATCACATAACCTCCTAATACCGGCCCACCTGACTGGGCTCTGACTCAATCCATGTTCACCTTCCTGGGCCAGGGGACCACAGTGGCACCAAGTGGAGCATCAGCCTCGTTTCACTTGGTGCGAAGCAGATCGCACCTTAGCCTTCCCCATCGGGCCCAGTCTACCTGGATGACAGCTCCTGCTGGAATCAGAATGGTGCCACAGCAAGGCCCGTTAGGCAGTCCAGTCTGGCGCTATGAGAAAAACCGTTGGGACTACTGAGACCCAGCACTCCCCCTCACCCATCGGTCCTCAGATTGCCTCCTGCAGACCAGATCCCCCCTGGTTGGGCCCAGGCCCCACTGCTGGCACTGGACCTGCCTCTGGCACCGCTAGGCACTCCTTCTCCATGGTTTAGAGCAATGTTCAATGGGACTCCAGAGAAGCTGGCCTACTTCCTCAATCGTATTTGGTCCCACATCGATTGCTATGGGGACCAATATCAGACCGATCGGGACATTATTTCAGCAATTGCGGATGGCATGAATTAAAGGGAAGTGGTGGGATTGATAGCTGAACTACACGATGACCTTTGC